TTAGAGGATGGTGTTGTCCACTTGAAAAGCAGAAAATAACATCGGTTCTCCGTTCAAACGATTAACGCAGTTCCGTATTCAAGATGATGACATATTTTCTATCCAAATATAAAAACTGTGGGAAGATCTAGTGGCCCTATCGAAATCTAATTTCATGGCAACATTACGGACGTTTATCCTCTAATGTCAAGGGAAAATATGACTAAAATATGCTTAAAAACAGTCTATTTAAATTTTTTTGATTCCGACAAAATTCAGCACCTTCATAGCAAGTAAACAAAGGGCTATTTTCTGAATAGAAGGCTTTGTAAGGGTAGTCTAATGGACGTATGCACGGTTTCATCAATTTGCACGTGCTACTCACTCATTTGTTAGTATTCACGTTGATGAGATTAGCATTTGGCTTGTAAACTTTCCGTCACTATCTCGAGGGCCTCCATCAGAGGGCCACTGCTTAGGTTTTCATCCACCACCAATCGGGGTGTACCTTACGGCACTACAGCTTCAAACCAGTTGAGTAGCTGAGTAGCTGACAACTGAGTGGCTAAATGAGCCGTTTTAAAACCACCTTACGTTTTTTGGTTTAATTTTTTGCATCTGATGGGCTTGTTGACCACTGCCTTTTTGTTTTAACATGGCCTAGATAAGTAGGTAAACAAATAACTAAATAAGTTAGTTAAAAATAAGTAAATGACTTACATCGTCCGAAGAGTCCTTTGACTGTAACGATATTTCAGCCAGGTAATCAATATTAAAAAAAGATTGAAATGGGTAGCTAGTACTACTAATAATAATAATAGCAATAGCTTTTTATATCATTTCACAATTGGTAAGGTGTGTGCTCTAGAATTCTCTGGTGGCCCTGGATGCAGTGCAAGAAAACGTCGAGTGGGTTATTATCGTGTGATAAAGTCAAGTAGGAGGGAGAGACCAACGATGATGTTTCCCGCGTGGTTGGTCTCTCTTGGAGTGAGTTTGTTGTCTATTTTTACTTTGGGATATCTACATCTTGAGAACTGCCCTCCCTCTTGTCTGTTCTCTTCACGGGGGTCCCCATGTCCGGCCGGAGTGACGATTGATCGGCACATGCCATTTTAGGTCTGTAATCACCCGCCATTATTTCAAGCATTCTGAGTGTCAGCCACCGGAAAATACAGCAAAGATAGCCACCGTGCTAGCGAGTGAGAGGAAAACAAATCAAGAACTTGTATGACTCCGTCAATTTTTCCTGCAGACCTATCAAGTGTGGGTCTTAAGTTTGCAAATTCACGGTACCAAATGTCGACCTCTAAAAGCCAAGACACCTTGTCGCGTGTACAATGCTGTAAGGTTCTGTGAATCGATGTATCTGCGTTGTCATTGTGGTAGAAACTTTGAGTTGTGATCAGGATACTTGAAAAAAATCAGCACTATCAAAGAATATGCTAGCCAATTTAATGGTCAAATCTCTTTAGTCATTTTCCACTTCTTCGAATAACATCGTTACTGTACGAGCAGACCAGCTGTCTGGTTTGCTCTTCATACGATGCATGTAGCAGACACCTTAGCGAGCGTTTATGGAACTGATACCTTGTAAAAACACCAAGAAGCGAAGCAACAGTGAGAATGTCCTCATCCATGAGTTGCTGTTTCAGGCCATTCAACGTCATCTTTATGATTGCATGAAGCTTGTAAGAATAAAATATGTCCCCTTAAACAGAGATACTTTACAACTGTCTATGCAAGCACTAGACATCATGTCGAAATCGGGGTCACCTACCGGAACATGTGCACAGATGGAGTGTCGAAAGTCAGATACGATGGAACTTGTTGGCACAGATACTAAAATCCTCGATTAGTCTACTGGGGTTATCCCTTTTCTGCAAGAACTCCTTCACAAAACGTTCCGAAAGTCTTTTACAGCTTCACGGAACTCAAGCGGTGTTGAACGACAGCTTTCATCCATAAAGCCTCTGAGACAAAACCATGGCCACTTGCTTTGTTCCTGCTTCTTCTGTTCGTCAGTCTTTTGGCATCTTGGAACCGCTAGCTGGTTAACGGGACGCAAAAAAGACAAGCAAACTAAAAACACTGGCAGTGGAGTTAACGTTGTACGTCAGTTTTCGTTCAACGCCAGCCTGAAATCACCGAGTTCCAGGCTTGGTACGGGCAGTACATTCACATTGACAGGCTATCAATTATATATCCAGTGCAGTCACAAAAAACTGAGGTGACTTCAGTGTTTCGTTTGCTTCCACTGTGAACCCTAAGCAATATACGGTTTCAATGTTCCGAAGGTCTTCTATTCGAACCTAAGCGGTGGTCGTTCATAAAAGTCTCACAAACACCTCCTCAGACTTTCTGAAAAAGTAATCTTTGGCTTCAGTGTACGAGACCCCGTTCTAACATTAATAAATGGTCAGGGTATCTTCCAGCACTTGCGTTTTTTCAACAATGCATGAGAAATACTACCCAAATATCCACCCAGAATGCCTCAGAACAGACAATCAAATCGCTGAATCACTAGACCGATGGACCCCAATTATCCTTCTAGCTTTGGAGCAACCCAACTTTGTACCGTTTACTAATTCATTCTCAGCTTTACTTCCATTATATTCATCATAACCGGTACATACATCTTACATTGCACCGCATAGTTCGGTGAATTCAATCAGGAACACGTTGAATTAAAGAGGCAAATATTCATCAGTCGAACTAGAACTGCAATCTGAAGACAGAATCTACAGTTTTAAAGTCGAACATTATTTCGTTCGCTTACACTTTAGGCTTGCAATATTCTCCGTCATAGATACTCCTTCAGCCAATCTGTGATCTGTCCATCTAGCTTGGCAATTCGGTCACAGCAACTTTGCAGCCATTCGAGGAAGCGGATGGATAATTCCTCTCCTGCTTGCGCTCATAAAGTTTTTTGCCTCTAAGGTGGATGACTGTCATTAATCGTAGTTTGATTGGTTCATGCACGATCTATGTTGTTTTGTGATTTGTGAATCAATCAAATGATGGGAAGGATAATCTTTAAACGAAAAATCACGTTAGAACTTAAAGGTACTTTGAAGAAACTATGTAAGCGAAAGCACGAAGAGAGCATTACCTGCCCAACTTAGCAATGACAACATCTCCGCGAATAACGTCAAACTAGGAGAACAGCTCATGAAGCCCTGATCGGTTACCAATAATGCACTCCAAACTAGTGAGCTATCTTGACACTGAATTTTTTTGAATGACTGATGATTTTATGTACGAACAACTTAGAATCACTCACTCATGGAAAAGGCTCTAGAAACTTTAAAATGAAGGTAAAAAGTTATCGATTAGAAACCACGAGGTTCTGAGTTTGAATGGTCCAGGTTACTACAGACGTTCTCACACTTAGTTCTCTGATTACCAAATATAATGTGTTCAGTGTTATTGATGGGGTATGGAATGCCCCTGTCTGGATCGCCGCAAAGACCATCCTGTCCGACATTTGTGCATTGGTATGTCTGTGTGAATGTGCGCAGCTGACTTACTTGCCCATTCGCGCTCGTGTTCTGTTTGCTGAGCCTGTCTTGACCTTGATCACAGCCAATCAGAATCACGAGACTGTCGTCGGAAGGGACGATCGCAACCCACACTAGCGAGCCAACATTCCACTCGCCGTGTTTGGCGTGCGGCGTTCACCCTACACCGTGCCGGTCAGTGAGAGTCTTATGCACTGATTGACTCAAAGAACGTGGATATTTAAGGCTTGTTGCTTATCCTGCTTATCTGCTTATCCTTATCTGCTTATCCTTGTGTAAATAGTAACCCGATTCTGGAAGGTCGAACCTACGCGTCCTTATCGGAAGCCTCAGCACTCATAAGCATACACTTAACTCGTAGGAATAACGCGTTTGGAGAGACAGAAAACTGCAAGTTCGGTTATTTGTAGAGGTATGTTGACGATTTTTCTGCTTAAGTAAGCAACGAACCGGGATCAGTAATAACGCTGAATGTTTCTCCCCCCCTCCCAATTGCACTGGAATGTCATCGCGCTCTTTGAGCCACCAACTGCGGTAGGCCAAATCCATGTGCTTAAGCGAATGAAGGCAAAAGACAAAAGAATTAACTTCTGTAGCCAGATAAGAGGATATATGCAATTCCGTCACGAGGCCACGGTTATCTTCGTCTCATCACGAAAGTAAAGGCCAATATGGTTTGTTTGACGAATCAGCTGACATCTTGCCTCGCCCATCTAATAAACGGTCATGTTCAGACTATGTAGCTGAGGAAGAGCAACCAATGAGTGAGCTCCAAGCAGCTGTTCGATTCAGTTAACACGGAACAGCAGTAAACCCCCCTCCAAGGCAACCACTTGCGATCCTGTTCAACCACGAAATGTTCAAATCAAATGAGCAGAAGTCCGTTATAAGCTTAGTGTGCCATTGATGAGACAGCCTCTAAATAATGCTCAAAACATCTTGAGCTGGAGTACGTCCCTCCCGGGCCACCTAAACGAAGGTCCAAGGTGTTAGTCAATGGGCAGTCTGGATTAACTTTATATCTTCTCGCATTACAGAATCCATACCAGTGTTGACTTCTTATGTGAAAGCAGTTCATATGACAGAATTCCGTGCCAAGATTTCACCAGTCTTTGAAACCTTTTTGCTACGTCGTCGCAACTATGTACGGCGGTTTTCGGTTCTCAACAAAGGAAATACCGAAAGCAGATTACCGCCATAACTTTGCGCTTTTACGCTACAGCTGGCTTGCTGTAGTACCAACAGGCTGTGCCCCATTTCATGACTTGTACAGTCTTCACTTACTCTGCTAATGCTGTAATGTTATTGAAATGAGTCAAAAGTGGTCGGGGTATCCTGTATTGTACACTTTCCGAACGTGAGGTAAAGTGGCCCGACACAGATCGATACGAAAATCAACCAATCATGTAGATGAATGTAGTTGCGTAATTAGCCGCCTCTCCAGTCATGAACGAATGTTCTGTATGCATTGACAGATTGGTCGATGGGGTGACTAACACGATGCGTGCTCAACAAGAACTACATGCTGAAGCACAAGCTGAGCAAACGGTGCGTTGTTCTGCTTCTTCGCGCACACTCTACTGGATGTAAACTACTGTTGTACACAGATGAGAACCGGTTCTCCTAGCTTCTAACAAGTGCCTTGCGAAGGATGATTCCAGTCCTCACGGGTCAAGTGAAGGCTTACTGTAAACGTTGAAAATGATCACATGAGGAACCTAAATCAGAGGTTTCGAAAAAGACTTCAGAATAATTACAGTCGGACTGCAGTCGATGGCTGCACCGACCGAAAATAATCATTTGTCAAACGACGCACTGTGGCAAATGTAACCTAACAATAGTTGAAGGAATCTTCAACCGCATTCTTAAAGTACTAAGACAAAATATTTCACTCGACCAAAGTTCGAAGACGGCACGGTTATCAGGGCAACCACAAGCCCTTTGACAGGTTTCTTTGAGATAGCTAATATCTGCATGTGACTTCCGCAACAGTTCATCTTAAAAATTCAACACCTTCAAAAACTGGTGACCTCACCCGCTGACGTCTTAGAAATGCAAGCAGCCTTCTTGGGGAAAAACGATCGTGTGTTGTTCATCTCTTACTTACTGAGAAACGCCCCGGCAATGGGGATTTTGTAAGAGACTCTCTGAAGGCTGGATGCAGATAAACCTGGAGTAACGTGATTGCCGTCCATTATCCTTACTCTGTTGAATTTAATTAATCTCATTACAGCTGAAGCAACGTGTTGACGTTTGTTCCAGAAGTTTCAATTTTGACCCCTCTGAAATTCATATTCTTTCGAAATTCATCATCAACAATGTCAGCTGTAATAACCGTGTACTTGTCGTATTGTGGTTGTAGCTTCCACTGTTTCGTTCACCGATGGTTCAGGGGGGTAAGTAGATGCGCATTGTAGGCGGGAGTTGATTAATTAGTGCGTAAAACACTGCACTGTAGGTGAACTGTTAAGTGGGTGGACTGGGAAGGGAGCTATGCATTGAAGGCAATAGGTTGGATGCATGAGCGCCATTGAAGGCGCAACTGGGCCATGTCTGACAGTGTCTCTAACCATTGATATGGCCAATCTCGGAGTCTCCATCCAGGAAGACAGCACTGACCAGCACAGCTGAGTTTGCTGGTAATGGCATGTGTACTTGAAATCATCAGCAGTGCGCATGCCACGAAACTCAAGAGAGTCTGAAACCTGCAGCATCGTGACGATCAGTCTGAACACTTAGCCATCCGGTCACGACTTGGTGATCAACAATGTAATTAACTCGTACTCAGACAGGATTCGGCGCCACTGGGTCCTCATGCATGGACTCCACACCACGTGATCGCATGCGTGTACTGGTTTGTTAAGTGAAAACTTCTCAGAATGTCCAAACTCCTTTCGTGGTCAGGGCATACATGAAACAATCAAACCATGTGCACAATGTGCACCATCAGCCAGAGGTGATTGCAGTTATTCGCCTTTGTGTTAGCGTCACTCCTGTCTACAACAGCCAACTTGGAGTTACGCAGCAAATTGTCTTTGTCAGCGGAGTTCACAAGACAGACTGGCAAGCATGTGTGTACATAGAATTTTTCTCCTGATCTAATTTACGGACTGATTGAACGTGTTGTACTACTAAGACGTCAATCAGTAGGAGATTGAACAAAGGTACTTGCCAGATATGTCTGATTGAAAATGTTTCAGTCCTGACAAAAAATTGGTCAAATTTTCAAATTTTTTTGTCTCCTACGATTAGTATGCTCAGGTTTTACTTACGGAGTGATTGTTCTTGAGTGTTTTAGAAAGAAAAGAAACGCATTGGAAAAATAGAAAATCTTCAACAAAATGGTCGGGCTGTCTAAATCCACAGGCCTTCCAAACTAAAAAAAATGTGTACTTATCGTAGGCAGAAATACTTGTGGGCGTGAGAAATTTCACATAAGAAAGTGAGTGTTTTCCTGAATTCTGTTAGTGGAACCCTTTGGCGGCCGTACTTTCGTGGAATCTGTGAATACATCTTAAACATCCAGACCAGTTCATAAATATTGGTTGGCATCGTTTGAGCCTCTGTACTATTAAGCTTACCGGTAGGTAGCGATTCGACCAAATCTTCTAATCTTTCTCACTTTCATTTTTGAGTTAGTCATATTCCATCCGAGTTCCCAAACAAAATGACATTTTGTAAGGCTTTCGAAAACTTTCCCGTCCCTCCGAACTTACCTGTCTCTTCGTCTGGGCATTACTCGACTGCACAGCGTTCTTGGCGTGTCTGATTATTGGACCTTTTCCAGGAAAACTTCAGGAAAAAACTGCTCCCCACATAAACAGTTTTCTATACAAATCATTGTTCATTTCAATCAAAAGACCTGGGACTATCCCCCTTCTGTTTGCGTTGACCTGTTGAACTCATCTTTTCCATGCCCTTTACTTCCAGTTGGCTAAGTATAAGATCAAACTCTTCCAGACTACTCAGCTCCTTGGTTTTTTGACAGTTGTTGGACATTCTTCGATTGTTTGAGACTCAGAGTACCATAAACCTCCGCAACCTGACCCGATTACTCCGATCTGCGATTTGTGTCGCCTACACGTTTGGTCTACCAAAACGTAACCGCCGAACGAGCTACTTTATGAATCACTATAAGACTACGGTATGCCGTGGCGGTTGAAAACGGTAAGGCAGCAGATCAGACAATTAAAGTCAGACAGCCGTTGGCCGATGGGTTGAAAAGAAAACAATAATCTCGAGAAATACACTCATTTTCAAATCAACTTGGTTTTCACGGGAGACTCAATTGAATCTCTCGTTTATGATGTCCTCCAGCTGAATGTGCTCCACAGAGGCACGATTTTCCAGATGTTGCAGTATACTTTCATAAAGGAAACTACTCACAAGTTTGCTGAAAACTCTTCGACAGCCCACGACCGGTTTCGCCCTTCTGGGGGCTCATCAGGTAGGCGCAGTCCCCGAGTTTCCGTCAACCTTATGATCTACTTGGTTGAAAAGAAAACTAATCTCTTTTGCGTAAAGGATTGATTTACCCCCCATTGACAGCGAAGATGTTTTTGTGAGAGAAAAATAGCCACAAATGCTGGACGAGAACAACAAAAGGAAAGACTTTCTGGCTGCCTTTGAAAAGTCATTCATTACAAGCGAGCTGAGATTAAAAAATAAAGACATGAATAATATGAGCTAATGAAGGTTGAAAACGAAATCAATGATTCTTTTTGGACAATCGGACGAATAAAAAGATGTTTTGTCCCGTTGAAAAGATGACCTGCTAGTTTGATCTAGCCGGAATTCAGGTCAGGATTGTCTACAAGACTAGTAAGTGTGAGCTGATTCCGGACGTGAACTTCCAAGCTGAAAGATGGGCAGCATGCTACAGGTTCCACTAGTGTACTTACTTTTGGGAGGTGCTGAAAATCCAGAGAATATCGGCAACTCAGTGGGGTTATGCCATTGAGTCAAAGGACCAAGAAATAAGTAATAAGTCATGGTCCCACTGTAATTCAACTTATCCAATTGAAGACAACTTGCTAAGATATAAGACACATCTGAGCTAAGGAGGACTAATATAGCCTTTGAAGCATAAGCATCTTGTGTATACCTCCAGAAAAGAAAATACCTTGAGAGTGGATTTCTGAAATATATATTTTTTGTTTTTCTATCCATAAACATAAATGTTCAACTGTAGGTTACCACTTAAATAGGTATGTGGAGACAATCAACTCTTTTCGGCCTTTTAATAACCGCTAAGCTATGAAGAAGTACTTTCTTCTCCCTCGTTTTTTATAACAGTTTTCGGCTAAACTGCCCACGAAAAGTTTTTGTTCAAGCGTCGTTCCTGTTTTGTCCAAATGCTGTGTACAACTGCCTCGTCTGTGTTAGGAATCATCCGCAGTAAACATCTCGCGGGCCTCAGGGGCGATATCAGTCTAAAGCTAGATCACTGAGCCATGAGTGGCTGATCAGGAGTGGGGACAACTCGCAATCAGACATGACAGAGTCCCACTCGTCCCTCGATCACAACCCACATTGAGTGGACACTTGTCACTGTAGTTTTCAATTGGTTGTTGAACCGAAGTTTTACTCGTTATGTGAATTCGTCTACCTTTTGAGGTACTTAAACTTCGTTGATAACATGAGAAGACTTGAAAATTTCATTGATAAGCGAACCTATTCCAGCACAAAAATCAAAGTACTTTCATACATACAGCTGAGAAGTACACCCGATCAGTACAACTCACGCAACTCAAATGCCACCAAATCGACTGACCATATTAACGCGAATTGATTGGTTTTGACTGATTAGTTTTGACTAGTGATCAGATATCCCATGTCTTTCTCTGCAAACGCTGCATCACGTGATATGTGCTCTGTGCATTGAGGATAGAGAGAGAGAGAACAGTATCTCATATGATTTCCATTCAAGCATAATGCATATCTGCGAACACCTGTATAATTGTGCAGTCCTCAGTCTCTAGTCCGTGCGGTGTTGCCTGTTTACTTTCTGTGTACCTTCTAGTATTACATTTTGGTACAAGCTGGGGGTATTCACCATCGGCTGTGCCAAAAACCAAAGAACTTGGCCGATTTGTATGAAATTCCAGAAACGGAGGCTAAAAACTTCACGAACAAGTAGAGCGGCAAGTGGAAAATATAAAATTAAGAAAAGAACTTACATGGGGTCCCTTTAGTTAATAAGAGTCCCAGAAAGACAATGCATTGTAAATCTGTGCTTGAGTAGCCCTAATTTTTTACTCATGTGTTACTGAGCTTCTGATTAGGCATATGTCATCTGACGACCAGCTTTTTACTAGCTACTATGGCTGCACAATATCAGATCATTCCTGAGAAAAACTGGGATGAGGCACTCGTCTCTGACAAAATAATCTGACAGTCATCTTAGGATGTCACATCAGAGGTTTAATGGTCTTGATAGATAAGTAACCGCGGCTGAACATCACTGAATTTTTTTCGCTAAAATTCGAGACTGTTGCTACAGATCTCAGGAATTCTACCGATGTACGATGAAAAAAGTAACAAGTTGTATTAGACATAACTATAAACAGATAATATGTGTTTTAAACCGACGGGTTCATCTTCAAACTCAAACCTCAAGCTAAGAAGCTAGCAACAGACAACGTGAGGTGTATAATCATTGGCTTTGAGCACGATTTGTGTAGGCCAGAAGAGACTCTTTGTTTCAGATCAATTTATGTCAGCAACAAAGGCAGTGATGCTGAAACAACGCGAGTTCGAATAGTTGCGAACTAAATTCTGCCACACGTCAATGTTTAGTGTGAGCTAACTATTCCTCATTCTTGACTGGTACTTTTGAGGTCTTCTCACAGCTGAGCGCTGCTTGGCGGTCTAAAGCCACTGTCTCCATGATCCCAATGCTTATTCCACTCACCATAGAATACTTGGCGATTCCTACTTCTTCGGGTATCGGTTGCTGTGACATGGAAAAACTTGGGAACTCCAACGTCCCAAAGTCTGCTTTGCAGCTGCTCAGTCTTTCGAAGGTGCCCGATATTCATCTGCGTTCTTTTATCGTACTCACTGATCCCCGCGGAACATCCTGCGACAGCCTCTCCTATGTGGACATTGGTGCAATCGCTGTACGTGAATTTATGAACACGAGAAACAATCCCTCAGTCACACCACTGAAGATTGCACGGTGTTTCTTTAATGAAGGGTTACTTCAACCTTAACCGCATCCTTGGTTTTCGGATGATTTCATATATCCCTGGAGTATCTTTCTATCTTTGGCGTCCTTCATGAAAGCCCAGTAGTAGAATCCTCACTCTCTTCGGAAGTCAAACAAAACATTGTCAAGCAGGTAAATCAGGAACAGAAAAAATATTTCTGAGTGATTTCCTTTAGAGTTTTGTTTGGTCTTTGCCAGGTAAGACAAAACACTGGGAGAATAGTTGAGTAAAAATCAGAACACTCAGTGATTTATTGTGGATCTTGTCACACTTGTGTCCTACGGAAGTGCTACGGAGAGAGCATGATCTTTGGGTGATCAGGCCCTTTAAAGTTTATCTTGGAACCTACCTACACCTAGCTATGGGTTAACGCATTTATCCTTTGAAAATGAACATATGATTTATTAGCCGATATCCTCATCTGCTAGTGTCGCACCATTTCGGGTTCGAGATCGTTCAGTGATTAACGCGCGAACCTCTTGATCACAAGGTCCGTGCCTCCAACCCAAGTCCAACATCTCGACTGCTCTTGGACAACCTGGTGTTAAAGTTGAACCATCATTATTTGTATTCATAGGGTTGTAGACACTGTGCAACGAAAGTATCAAGTAAATAACGCTTTTCAAAAGTTACTCAGATGACGCTGTTGGGACGGCCTCTCAGGGGTTATTTGGATAAGCTTGACATGCCAAGTTTCTACCATGAAGTATGTGCTAATCATATGGTATTATTGTAAAAACATCCATCACCATCATTGTAAACAAGCAATCAAGACAGTAGATTTCAGTAGTATATACCACTGCACAGAAGAGTTACTTCGAATTTGTTTACCAAACTGCTATCTTTTAAGAATCACTTCTCCCGAGAGACTGTTCAAACCCACACCGGTCGTACTTTGCCTGGGGGAAACTCACAAATTTATTTGAGATTCAGCTATACAACTTTGTTCAATCGTCATCAGATCCAGCTGAGAACTATTCGCTAATTTGTGTACAACATTGAGATTGCAAACAGTTTGAAAAGCTTTGATGAAACGTTACATTTACAGAGAAAATTTCTTACAGTTTGAGTTTTCTGGAATTTTACAAAAGGACAAGAATAACGGTTTATTTAGCCTAGCGGTCATAATTCATGAAACAGCTGGGATTGAAAATCTAGTCCAGACTGTACACAAAACCGCTCTATCGGTGGTGTGTAGTCTCGAAATATGTGACTAATGTGGCCTTTGAGCAAATTTTACCTCTTTTTGTTTTTAGACCGCCTACAAACTAGTACAATGTATTTTGACGCGTTTTCCAGCCGATAGTCTAGCATTTTCCGCGCTTTGGCCCAACGGATACTGTTTGACTGGTCCACTCCGGTCACACAGCTTTTTGCAGTTGTTCTGTAAACCACCACATCGAAAAGAACCGTATTCCTCTGTTGTTTATTAGGTTTGCTATGAATAAAACCTTGAATTGATTTCAGTGTACATTGAATTTGCTCTGGCGGTATGTGTAGCGACCCAGTCACCCACATACTTGACTGTTCAACTCACAGTCGCTCACTGGATCGCGAGGCTTGTCTTTTTCTCATACGCACAAACACGTCGCATTAAGCTGACACATCGGACATCGATTGTCTGCACCGCCTAGTCAGCGCAGCAACCACTCATGTGCCGACGCGCCCACATACACGCACTGGGACCTACATAAAGGCAAACCGAACCCAGTCAAGACACACAGACTCGCGCGCGCGCAGGGAGCAGGACGTCAACCTCTCCACAAGTCCACGGACAACCATGGAGTACGTGTAGCAGTCTAACTGCGGAGAAAAACACGTTCCCGCCGTCCGGACTTCCACCAAGGGACTCTCGCATCCGATAAGTTCCCTTTTTGACTTGCTCCCATCCTCGCACCGTATTTATTTTCATACGTGTCGCAACCACACAAAAACTTTTATTAGTGCACATTCACCTTCTGATTTGTATTATGGCTATCACTACCTGTGCACTAATATATGATCGATCTTTCTTGAGACATCTTGGTGTGACTGCGGGAGCTCTTAAAGTGAAAAGGTTATGATTCTTGGATAGAGAAAGTGTAACTATTGTCCGCTGGAAGTATATCCATACATAAATATACTACTAATGTGGCATGCGAGCAGGATGTTTTCTCGTAAATCCGCTTCGCGTCTCTTGAAAAGTGAGCTCAATCACGGAATTTGTGGGGTCGCTTTGTATCATTAGGTTGCATTTGAGTAACAGTCAATGAATATCCAGGAAAGTTCAGGAAGACGTGTTCAAGGAGAAGATGGATATTCAGTTTTGTAAAAAAAAATATGCATATGAGAGGTTTGCTCCCCTGTCCAATAGTCTATAACTGTTCAGTTGGTCTCTAATAAACAACTCCGCAGCGAAGGCCTTCTTCCTTTCACTGTTGTACAAAGATGTCGGGTTTCAGTAGGGAACAAGGAAAAATTAGTTGAACTTTTCTGCAGGATGGATACACAAACTGTTGCCATGCTCGTTGACTAGTTGATACGGTGTCTCCAAGACCGATCACGTCGCTCAGAAGTGATAGTCCTGCAAACTCTGCATTACGTTGGTCAAGTAGTGGTAAAATGATGACCTCAAATGCCAGATATTCGTAGTCCATATCCAAGCACGGCCGATCCGGCGCCTCACCCTTTTCTTAAGGATGAACCGGAAGAATTGTGCAGACGGAGTAGGACTGGTCAGATGAGAGTGATGTGAACACAAGCAATGCGCTTATTTTCGGCGCCACTCATCGGGATATTATCTTGCACGTTTTCACTGGATCCCTCAATCATCAGGCTAGTTTCCTTCTTTACTAATTCAAAAGTCTGTGAAAAGTCTCCATGTTCCAGCACTCCCTTGAGGCTCATCAGATAGGTCTAGCACGTGAATTTCTGACAAGCGTATTACTTACTGGTTTGCTTCTTTTTTCGTATGTTAGGACAAAACATTCGTTTGCAAATAAAAGCCGTCTTCGGTGGGTGTCTCGTTTATACCACTCCGCACCAACCTTTTGAGTAGTATTGGAAAAAATTTCAACATCTCTAAAAGCGCTTTACTTAAAACATGAGGCGACTTCTGTGCAGCACATTCAGCTGGAGGACATCATAAACGAGAGATTCAATTGAGTCTCCCGTGAAAACCAAATTGATTTGCAGATGAGTGTATCTCTCGAAAACGAGAGATTCAACTTAAACTTAAAGTAGATGTTATCTACTTTCACCACGATATACGAGAGGTCCGAATTTTGCCACCGTTCGTTTAGAAGTCGGCGGGTCGGGGTTTTGCGAATTCTCCACATGTAATAATGGATTTGTTACTAGGATTCAAAAAGAACAGGAAACATTCTAAGTGTGGGAACATTCGAAGTGGCAAGTCATATCGGAGGACTGTACGCCAGCCTATTAATCATTCAAACAATCAATATTCAGCAACATAAATCACGCTACCCGTCCTTTCACGGGTGTCTTAATCGATCGCGATCTAGAAAGCAGTTACCAAATAGACTGTTTGTTGTTGTAACTTGATGCTGCCTGAGTCTCGTTCTCTAATCTGTCCCGTGCAATCGATTCCCAGCCTACTTTACAGTACAGTCCAAAAACAAACAGTGGACTTACTCTCGGGAAGCGCTGAAAATTGTCATGAGAACGTTGGTGAGCTGAAAAATTTATGCCCATTTTGGAAGACATACGTGCAACGGACAACAAACGTGTAACTGATGTTTCCGACTAGCTTCCTTGCTGTCATCCGGCTAAAATACGGATTTCAAACATATGTTAAGCATGAAGGTGAACTTTGACTGTTGTTCTCGTCGCATAAGTTGACAGAACGTTCGTGGGTCAAGTGGGACGTGGACTGTACTTTTTATTCATACTCAGTGTACCGGAAAGTTTTAGTCTCCAGCAATTCCGAATCCCACTCTGTGGTATGCCAGTTTACTCCAATATCGCGCAAATGAATGGACACTATCAGTGTCTGACTATTCATAACACAAAAGGCAGCCACAGTTCGTTTCCTACATTGTCCCTGATTTTGACCTTCACGACAGACTGCGCCCGTAATTATTCGCCGGATAATTCTGCAAGTATGATGAGTTACACGAGGTGATGAACAGAGATCTTTTGGATGGCCGTTGCCTAGGTTGAATAGTGACTGAGTAAACGAAGCCAACAGTCACAGGATTTCCGGACTTACACGTATACCAGCCAATCACCACTAGTTGTACTGCATTCTAAACAGCACCTCCATTGTTTTGATGAACATTGTGCCTGAGTCCCTCTAGAAGGATGTTGGACCACTTCAAAGTACATAAATTAAGCATAAAAGCTTGTGTTCTCGTATACCAGTCCGATACAACGGTCTAGGATTTCGACGCACCACAGGGTTCCTCCACAATTTCGTCTTCCTCGTTATCTAAACATGGCACACACCCTTGAACCTGCTTCTAGCACAGCATCGTCATTGTCCAAGTCAAAAGGCTGAGCTGCAGATCGAATCTTTTGAGCAACTTGATCCCATCCTCTCTTCAAATATGCCAGAAAAAATAGATGCCGGCTTCGAAATCACTGTGCAATTTAAGAACATTTCATGGATGCTGCTAGATATTGAAGCATCGAGCACGTACTCTGGTGGCTCATCCCGTAGTCACATATGAACTCTTCAACCCAAAGGGTTTTTCAGCCTATCCATATTTGACCACTTTTTTGTCCGAAAATATTGAGGGCACATTGAACAGAAAACACCCATTCACTCACAATTTATGGTCACGAAAGTTGACGCCTGTGAACGGGAGGCTTGAAGAACCTGTCGGTTTTGAGCGTATACTGCCTACAATGAAATCTTAACCTGACTACTCGGGAACACCGTTTGCTGCGAAGATCTGGCACGATGGCATTTCTTGTCTGTCTTTGCTGTTTCAACGGTAACGCTTAACAGTCCATTATGTAAGAACCTCCACAAACTGACTTTCAGCTGCTCTGCCATCGCAAACAACCCATCTAAATCAGGAATCAGTTTGGATGTGTTGAGGTTACTCGGATTTCATTGAAAGACTCAAAAGGCCTGTTGATATTGGAATCTAGCTAATGCAATATTGCAGGCAAGTAACTAACTTTTGTATTTAATATATTTGTCTAACTAAACTGCAATCCAGGTTATCTGAAAATTACTCACTGTGTTTTCCACCTGAAAGATATTGATGACACAACATAACTGATGATAATTTAGGTATGCTCATGCGATCAAAGGGTAGATATGCACCACGGTATTCCACGGACTAGGTCGAGTCTGTTCAGGTTCAAATAGAGTAATCCATCTGCTGCATCATGTTCCTAAACAAGATATGCCATTATTAGAGGATAACTGATGGTGCCGTTGATGCGCTTTGGCGTTTAATCCATTAGGAAGACATGAAAATTTTCGGGCCTGCTTCTCAGTCGAATTTCAGAATATAATAAACATTAGATATGTAAGGCGATATAATGAACTGCTCTGTCTTCCGCTGCATTGTCTGCACGCCTAAACTCCACTCAGGATTTCTCTATCACCATTTTACAAGTGGGAGTGATTACTAGGTCACGTTCAGCCAACTTCATGTGTGTTTGTGTGTGTTACATCTGATTTTATGGAAGACAAAACAGATATTACACTCCATTGCGCATAGTGAGCTTCACTGCGGTGTAATATCGGATTGTTTGCACCAAACTGGTAGTTTATTACAGGACTAAATGTACTTGAGTTTTCGGTATTTCAGGATCTTTATGCTGATTGATCGTCATCATCACTATCGACAGCGTGTTCAACACTGAGACATCGTAGTCTTACTCCTATCAATGCATACTACTGACACTGAGTAAAGTAGCAACCAAAGGTTCAATCCGTTTGGCCAAATCCACACGGCGTAAAAACAAACATTCTTATGGATTACTCCTGAAACCATAAAATATACTCGCATACAAATAACTTGCCGAATACAGTATTATTCAATGAGTATTTTCTGTTACATAAAAATCAAACACACCGTGAATCGCTGTGAAGCGCGTGTCCGGTGGTTATACATCGTGAAGCTGATTGAAGTGACTAGTCCAAACTGTTTGCTCAGGGGCAACTTAATTATCGTCTGCACTGCTTCTTTCGTTTTTTATCAACTTCTTTTTCAGCAGTAAATACTCGCAGTTCTCATTGAACGTTCTAAACAAACCATCCGGCTAGTATTCACCTCCCTGAGCACAACACAGAAAAAAAATCTGCCATTGCGCTAGGACCATTATTTTAAACCTGAGAACAAAAGCACCCCTCTAGTAGCTGACAACTGTCTACTGGTGTGCGGTCGAAGGATTTACCGAAGCCGGATGGGGGCCGATTTTAACACCAGTGGCTCGCCAACCTCATTATACCAGAGCGTTCTTAATCCGTGTT